GCACCCATTTTCCTACAAGTGTCTTGAACTTTTCCTTCTTTACTACAGAGAAGTATTCCATTCTGTATAGATATTTTCTTTAACCATTCATCTGTGGATGGGTATACAGGCTGCTTTGAGGATTTATCTATTATAAATTGAGCTGCTAGAAACATCTTTCTATTTATCCTAATAATAATCAACTGCAAAAAAAAAACCCCAATAGTTTCAGAACAAAGGGTGACACTTTGTGCTTTTCTTCCTCTGTACTATTACTCTTTCTAGTTAATGACCAAAAAGAAAAAAATCCATTCTGCCATCTTAAAATTAGTTTTTCCCAGCCATCAAAGTTCAAATTCATTAAACTTGTTTCTAAAAGTCTTACTTGAATATACACAATTCCAAGTAATTTATTCCCCATCACTAACACAAGACTTAGATTGTGCTTTTGATCAAAGCATTACGACTGAACATAATTTACTATGTCATGCTTTAATTTAGAAACTATGTTCAAATATTATATGTAATATATCTCCAAAACTTGATTCTGAATGCTTTAACTAATCCATTTTTTATCTGGCAGCATTGTCTCACCTGTGAGTCATCCATAAAAGTTTTGTTAAATTGAAAAAAAATGCAAGATTCAAACAATAGACAGTGACTTACATGTATGATCTCAAATTCCTGTGCAAACCTGAAGTTCTAGGAGACATTTTTCCCCTTTAATAAATACTCTAAGGAGTCTAATGTACCTAAAGGCTGGCTGAAAACAAAAGGAAACTGTCCACTTTGATATCAAATCAGAGCAAAGCTAGATAATATTCCCAAGGTTTGAGATTCAGTTTAACCAGGCCTCTGAGGCCAAGTTCTTTTTTTTTTTACTTTTTATTTTTCTGGTACATATTAGATAGTGGCAAATTCCCATATCAGAAAAATAGAGTGAGCTCAAATAAACAACCTAATGTTGAACCTCAAGCTTCTCAAAAAAGAAAAGCAAGTCAAGCCTTAAACTCATACCAGGGAGGAAATTATAAAAATCAGAGCAGAAATTAATGAAATAGAGACTAAGAAAACAATACAAAGAATCAATGAATCAAAGAGTTGGTTCTTTGAAAGATTAAATGAAATTGACAAACCCTTAGCCAACCTTACCACAAGAAAAGAAAGACTCATATCCATGCAATTAGGAATGAAAAGGGTGAAATCACAACAGATCCTCCAGTAATCCAGAAGATCTTTAATACCAACTTTGAGAATCTGTATTCTAATAAGATGGAAAACATGGAAGAAACAGACAGATTCATAGATACACATGAATCACCAAAGCTGAATCATGGGGCCAAGTTCTAAGCCCTAATCTTTACAATACATATTCACTTATAGAAAAGTGTTCAGTTTTCACTGAATGAAGAGCAAATGAGTGAAGCGGCTGCTCTAGAATCACTCCAAAACTCACAGGCACTGAGGTCAAATTGATCCTGACAGAAAAGCAAACTAAAATCCTCACTGATCTTCTTCCAAGATTTCTCATTTCCCACAAAAATGAGAATTCTTAAAACAAGAATTCTTGACAATACTTATCTACATTTTGCAAAGAAAAAGTTTATAGTATATATCAAAAATTCAGAGAGCCAAGCAAAACTCTAGCAGCACCTGGTTCTTCTCAATGAAGGCAAGTATCCCCAGAACTTTACAGCTCAACAGAGTGTTGAGGCAAAATCAAGTGCTTGAGCCATCTGGTACAGTGGGAAAAGGTCAAGGCCAAATTCTGAAGAGGCTCTGCTGGAAACTACAGAATCCACACTGCTTTGGTCTCAGTTTCCCCATTTCCAAGAAAATATAATTAATTCACTCAGCAAGTACTTAAAAGGACTGTGCCTAGATGCCTGGCGCCAGGGTTTGACTAAATGATCTCTAAGGTCCCTTTCAGACCTGAATATCTTAAAATTCTCATAGTCACACTTAGTAGACATACTTTTGGCTCTGATTTGAAAATCTGGCTGGAAACATAAACAGACTTCGACATAAAAACACACATTTACCAGCTATAATTTTGACTTGGCAACATGAGGTTTCACCAGAGCTGAGAGGAAAATGTGCAAAATTTTTTCCGGTGATCATATTACTTCAGGCTGTCTTATAGTTCATATCTAAAGGTAGTATAAGTATGGCCAGAACAGAGCCAAGTTACTGTTACACCCAAGTTACCATTATCCAACGGAAGGATATGTCCACTTTTTTAAAACTTGCCAACAATCTTCCATATGAAGAGTCTCAAAAATAACACACTCTCTCTACCAGATTTGTCCTTTTCCATTTGGCAAATCCTACTTTATTTTTTATCTCCCTCCCTTCTGTTTTACAGAGAACATAAGCCAACATGGCAACAGGCTTTTTGTTTATTTCCTTCCTCTTCAAAAACAAAGCCATAGCTTGAGTACATTTATCAGAACAAAGTCCACACAGAAAGACACATTTTGTAATTTTATGAAAGCCTCACGAACAAGACAAGGATGGCCACTTTCACCCATTTTATTCAACACAGTACTGGGAGTCCCAGCCAGAGCTATTGGCAAAAAGGAAGAATTAAAAGGCACCCAAATTGGAAAAGAGAAAGTCAAATTGTCCCTGTCTGCACACAATATGATCATATATATCGAAAATCCTAAAGATCCCACAAAACCCTATTAAATTAAAAAACAATTTAAGTATAGTTGCAAGCTCAACATCAATGTCCGGAAATCAACAGTGTTTCTTTGTGACAAAAGCAAAGTATTGGAAAAATAAAATCCCCTTTTTCATAGTTACAGAAATAAAATAAAACACATGAATAAATTTTAACAAAGGAGGTAAAAGAGTTCTACAGTGAAAACTACATGACGTTGATGAAAAAAATTAAAGAGGACACAAGCAAATGAAAAGGCATCCTGTGTTCAAGGGATGGATGGATGGATGGATGGATGGATGTCCTTGGTTGTTGTTTTAAAGAGACTATTTTTTCTATTTTTAGTTTCACATAATAATATTTATTATTACATCAAAATCTCTGTATGTATAGTGTCAGTTTAACAACTTCAAAAAAACTCCATTTTTATGTCATCTAATTATCAAAATTAGATGGATTTAGCTTTTTTTTTTTAAAACTATGAAGACACTGGTACTAAGTGTGGCCTGCTCAAAATTGCTCAAGGAGAATAGCTGCTTGACTAGTTTTCAAACACAAGTCTTCATTCATTAGGTCAAACAACTTTATCAAAACTAAAGATTTTTAAACGCAACAAAATAGTTTCCATAGCAATCCAGGACAGAGAATAAGTGACTCTGTAAATTCTGCAAAGTAAGCAATATGTAAAGAATGTCACATACAAAAGAAGGCCAAAGCTATACAAAGCAAAATAAAGGTGTTTTTTTTTTATATGAGGAAAGTCAATCACTTTTCTTTTGCCAAAGATTCTGCCCCATAAAGTAAATATTAACTTTGTAGAACTCTTGTCTCTACTAACAACCGAATTCTGGAGTTGGTATCAAGGAGCAAAAGGAATACAGAAAATGTGTGCTATTTATGCAAGACTCAAAATTTTTAATAGTATTCAAAAGATCTAGACTCAAAAATGAACTGAAACCTAGTGATTACAAATGGTACTTATTTTGACAGATCAATACTATTAAAAGCTTCTTCTGTTGACATCAACTACATGAAAATCTCCACAAGAAAACCCATATGGTTCATTCCTTCCTCTTCTCCTTCTAGTCTTTGTTTAAATATCATCTTCTCAATGAGACCTTACTGACCATGCTCACTCTAGAAAGCTGTATCCCCTTCCCTGCTTCCCCTAACACCCAATTCCACTGTACACTGCAATGCATACTTTGTTTATATCCATTAATGCACTGACACTTAAGTTCCGTGAGGACAAGCTGTACCTATCGTCCTCATTAGAGAATTTCTAGTACTTGAATAATAGCTATATATTTGTGGAATGAATGAGTCATTTCTTCCTTTATGTCTCCTAACCCAATATTTACAGAAAGCAAGCAAAAAAAAAAAAAATAGATTAAATTGCATTAAGCACTTCATCCCTATGGCCTTTCTTCCTTTACACTACTTATGGGAAATTTGAAACATGTACAAATGTGGACCGCACGATAGTTATGAACTCGTAGCTGACCTTTTTCTTTTGTCATGTAGTAGTTCTCATTTAGTAGTTTTATACTTTTGGTATTTTAAAGCAAACGCCAGACACTATTCCATCTCATCTGGAAATACTTCAAATATTTCTCTAAAAGACAAGTACCCTATTTTTCTTCAATCTTTCTATACTAACACCATCATACCTAAGAATAAAACAATAATTCCATGATTTTGTTAGTTTTCTATTCTGATATGTATGATATCTTGATCCTAAATGATGGCTCTAGTCATCAGATACCCATGGTCAATCTAAGAAGAACCTCTAATGTCACTTCTGTGTTCATTCCTAAGTTTCTTTGCAGCCTACACTCTATGGAGCACCATGTTTCGGTATAATCTGTATATATCTGTAATACACACACTTGAACTTACCCAGAAGAGAAAACTCTGATGCTTTTTGTTGTTGCTTTTGTTAGAAAGATGTTGCTGCCAAACTGGGACTCATGGTGATCAAGCAGAGTCTTAAAATACCAGCCTTACTCATGCAGGATGCAATGTTTGTGGGTAGAGGTGGGGGAAAGGCTACAGAAAGGCCTATGTCTCCCTGGGTTAACAAGAAAATATGGACTTTTCCAAGCATTTCTAAAAAATTGCTTTTGGTTTTGAAACAAAATTAGTAGGTAAAAAGATTTCTAGGGCTTCAGAGTATAAGCCAGCATAACTCTGAGACACTTGAGCTGGGAATTCTGTATTAAAGTGCTTTAGCTCCTCGCAAGCTGCAAAGCTCTGAATAGGCTCTGGACAAATGTTTATACACCACAGAAACAATCACTGAATTCATGAGCTTCCAAGCATGGCTTACAAACATGGCTTCAACCATAGCTCTTACCTGCACTTTGAAAACACCTTCATCGAGGGGCGGTGGAGGAGGAAAGTTTCCAGAGCCAGGTGGAAGAGTGCTGGAATCCTCCAGAGGTGGAGGAGGTGGTGGGAGGAAGTCACCTGTAGAAAGGAAGTCACACATGAAGTTAACTGGGATGCAATTTTACAAAAGTCTTTTAAAAGTTACATTTGCTGGCATTATACTCATTTGTATTTGGCTTTGACGTGTAATTTTTTGCCTTGGATAGCAATTATTTCCTATCTTATCTCTCCTCAGTTTAATTAATAGCCTTAACTTTCTGGGGAAGGAGGAACAGATTTGATATTTAGAAGTGGCACAAAAAACTGGTCAAGAGGGGTCAAACACATTTAGCAAAACCAGGAAATGTGCTTGGGTTGGGGAATGGGAATAACAAATTGTGTAAGACTTGATGCTTGCCCTCAATAAATTTATAACCAAGTAGAGGAGGAAAAAGCATGAATACAAGCAGGGAAATACAAGATACAGTGTATGAAAAGTATAAAAAAAAACTTTTTGGAAATCACCATAAAATAAAGCTTATGTCCAGTTGGAAGAACAAGGGAGGCTGTACTAGATTATATAATTGTCCTTGAACTTTACAATATACTGAGCAAGTCCACTCTGGGCAGAAAAAGAGGGGGAATATAAGTTTACCAGTAAAAAATAATTTCAGCAAATGGAGAATAAAAGTCAAGTCATAAAACAGCAAAATATTGGAAAGTAAAATAAATATTAGTAGATGATAAAAATGAGAATGGTGAGGAATATTCTAGTGTGATACACACCTAGAAAAGTTTCAGTTGTATCATGCATGGAAGGTTGTTGGTTAAAATAGAATTTACTAAAGTTTAAAAATGCATGCAGCACCCATGAGGAGAAACTAGAATAAGAATGAGTAGAAATCTAAATACAATCCAAACAGGAAGAAAAGAGGCTCAGCATACCAAGAAAGCCCAACATTTCTGACCACCAAGTGTAGCCGTTGAAAGAGTGCATCTAATCTCTAAAATCAGAGAGCTACACACTTCATGGTAAAGAATCTTTTAAAAGAATTTTTGGGAAACTTTATTGGCAAAAGAAACTTCTTCTTTCAACAGTTTTTATATTTTTCCTCTTTCCTTTTAAAAATAATGTTTTTGGTGTGTTGGAAAAATATTCTCCTCTATGAATAAGTGGCTTTTCCTTGCCTTTCAGCTGTTTAAGATTTATTTCCTCTTGCATAGCATCAGATGTCACAGCATAGATCTTTGGAGAAAGAAGAGTTTAATAATGAAGGAGAGGGCACAGTAGAGAGATGGTATGGTATGTTGGCTTGGTTCTTCTGATACACCTCTGAAATGGTTCACTGGGTCTCCAATGGCTTTATAAACAACTATGTTAGAATCAAAAGAGTAGCCAACAGGTTCCAAATCCAGCCCCTAGCCAAATTCAGACTACCAAGCTGTCAAAAATACTACCTCTAGAGTATTCAGCTTGCAACACTCTCACACACAACTTCTAAAACATACAACAACCCTCTATATGAGTAGTTCTCAAACTTCAGCATTCATCCAGATTTCTGAAAGGTCTTGTTAAAATATAGATCTCTGGGTCACATTCCCATAAATTCTGATTAATTTGGTCTGGAGAACAGTCTAATAATTTGCATTTCTAGTAAGTTCCAAAATGATTCTGATACTATTAGATCTGAGACTACACATTGAGATTCAAGCAAAATATCATATTATTCCTAATGTAGACAGACAGGATTGAAAAGCTTGAAGAAATTATGTCATATGAATTTTTTTCCATTTCTCTTATTCTTAAAGGTAGCACAAATCTAGAAATATTCTTAGTCCATATTCTTCTTAAGGACCTAGCTCTCAAAAATACTTATTAACTCTATGAAGTTTTTATAAACACTGGCTACATACTAGAATCACCAAGGAATATTATCTAAAAGAGCTGATGCTCATACTCTATCTTGTACCAATTCAATCACAATCCTGGGGATATGGTAACAGGCGTGGAGAGAGTAGATAAGGGACCAGTAGTCCTTGAAAATCCAGGGGATTCTAATGTGCAGGCAGGATTGAGAAGTGCATTTGGCCACAGAGTGCATGAAAAAAATATTGAAAAGCTGTTAAGTAATAAGAACTGTCACCAAGTATTTTTCTGCCTTTAAAAGCTATAATGCATGGCAAGAACCCATGCAAAACAGACTTCAGCAGTGAGGCAAAGAAAATCTAAGGTGCTGAAGACATGACTACTAAATTGAAGTTCACAATCTAATATGCAGGTTCAAATGCTCTATCTGGACCTGTATCTTTCATGGTCACCTTAAAGAGGATTTCGGAACACACTTTTAATTCACCAGATTCTGTTATGTCATGAGAATTGTCAGAGTATCAGATAAAACTGAATGACATCTTGGAGATCATATTACAAAAGGAGAAACAAAGGCCCACAGAAGCCACATGTATAACCCAAAACATCACAGCAAATTAGTTTTGAAATGAAAAGTACAATTGCCTATCTCTGGGGTTCCTTCCAACTCTATTCTTCTTCACCCTATTTCTCTAATAGAACATAGTGAGGCATGACTGATGGTAGTCTGAGAAGGTGAAAATGAACAGAAAAGGAAAATGGAATGCATGTTTCTTAAAGAAATAACTTAAATCCAACAGACATCATCACTCTGGGCAAAATTAGACAGTTTTCTTAAAGCCCTAGTGATAACTTCGTCATAATTATCTCCTTTATTTAGATCAGTTACTAAGTCAGATCAAAATTTTCCGTTATTCCAGCTTAACCATCAAAGGCTTCTTACAGCATTGTGTAGTAGAGCTCACATGTGAAACAGATGTAGAATGGAAATGCCTTCAAAATAGAAATATGGCAAAAGGAGAGAAAATACGTTCTTTGGAGGGATGGAAGAACAAGTTGGAATAGTGGACTGAAACACTCTTTAAAATGTCTTACATCAGACTAAGAGATATAAAAACACTTATAACTTATCATTTTAATAGACAACATGGATTATATTGCTTTTCAATAATATCAACACATATACATATGTATTATCACGGAGAATGTTTTGAATAGATTTCCAAGAACTTGATAACACCTAGTTGCTTCCAGGAAGCCAAATTTTTCAACTGAAAAATAAGAATGAAAGGAAATTTTACTTTTCATTATGCAAATGTTAATGTCATCACTTGACTCCTTTGTGTTTTTTTCTCCTGCTGCAGAGTAGGATAAGGGGGGCTCAGTTTCTCATCATCTGGCCTTGAAAAAAATCTTAAACTTGCAATTGAAGTTTGGCTCACAGCACTCTTAAAGGTACAGAAAGTAGCCCTGTCTTTCTCTGAGGCAGGATTATACTCAAAATACCACAGGCACATAAAACAGAGATATTTCCATCACTTAGAAAAATGTCATTTCAAAATGTTCAATTGAGTATAGTTTTAAAAACTCCCAGGCAATGCTGTGATACGACAATGGCCAAGAGAACAATTGAGGATAAATCTTATTTAATGCATGACCTCTCAAACTTCTCAGCCTATTGACTCCACTGCCTGTAACTACGCTAGGAAAGAGATGGCTCTCATTTATCCAATAGGTTGTCTGTATGCCAGATGAAGCACTTTCATGCTCTATCCCATTCTACTTCTGCTCTTCTCTCTGACAAGAAGAGACTGCTGATCTGAATGATCAGCCTCATACTCTCAGGTCTCAGTTACATTTAATTTATATATTTAGAGACAAAGTCTCAGTAAGGTGTCCATGCTGGCCTCTAACTTGCAATCCTCTTGCCTCAGCCTTCTGACTAGATAGTATAACAGGGGTGCACCATTGCACCCTAGTTTTAGAAAAAACCTTCTATCTTATACTCCTAGTTCCAGTGCTATACAGCATCTGGTTTGCAGGATAGAACAACCAGCTGTTGTCTGAAACATTCTTCTTGACTCCAAAGAAGAACACCAAGATACCATACCACATGCTCCCAAGCCTATAACTCACTGTATTTACTGGCTCCTGAGAAGAGAGGACGCGATAAAAAGCCTGCCCATTGCAAAAGCCAAAGTCTGTGCACCATCTTAGTGCAACTACAGATCTCTGTCCCAAAGAGAGACCAAGCACGAGTGGAAGCATTAATAAAGCAGCACCACTATTCCTATTTTGTTCCTGTTCTTTGAGTCTACAACCCTTTGAAAGCTCTCTGGGAGAATGTTTATTATGAAGACAAGGCTTGGGCTTTCCAAGTTACCTGTCCTTGTGGTCACCACAACAATGACTGCCCCTGCCTCCCATAAATGATACACAAGAAGGGACGTGACCTTGGCTTTCACCATTTTGGGTCTCACACTAGACATCCTCAGATGCCAGGTACTTATTAGGCATCGCTGCGCACTACAAAATTAACCTTTTTATCATTCTTCCATTTTTATCTTCTGCTGCTTAACTGAAAAACAAATTGTTGATTCTGATAGTACTTAATTTTCTAACATTATACCACTGAAAAAAAGGACCAAGATTAAAAATAATGATGACAAAAATGAAAAATATTTGAGGTGACAGATACATTAATCATCCTGTTTTGATACTATAAACATATATATCTATCAAAACATCACATTACACACCATTATAGGAATTTGTATGATTTTTGCATCAATTAAAACTAATAATTTAAAAATATTGATGGTATAGCGAAACCAATATGTTTATATGTTCCCAGTAGGAAACCAGTATGTTTCTATGTTCCCAGTAGAAGTAGGTGTGATATTAAAGTTTCTCCAAGAAAATCTGTCAAAAGGTATCAAATCTTCAAAAATATTTATAAACTTTAACTTGCAATAAACATTTCATGAGTTTGTTTGTTTGTTTTGCAGTACTGGGAATTGAACCAAGGGCCTCACAACACACCAGGCAAGCACCTGCCACTGAGCTACAGCCCTAGCCCAAGGAATGCCCCTTCGGATGAATTTTCCTATTATGAAGTAACCGAAAATCATGTACAGACACATATTATAGACTCCCATCACAATGAAATACAATGGGAAAATTCAGAAAGCTCACCAACATGGAACTGGTTACAAAACAAGTTGTTAACTGC